TGTGTGTGTGTGTGTGTGTGTGTGTGTGTGACGGTCACTGATTAAAGCTCATTGTGTTCATATGTGTGTGTGTGTGCGAGTGTGTGTGTGTGTGTGTGTGTGTGCGAGTGTGTGCGAGTGTGTGTGAGAGTGTGTGTGAGTGTGTGTGTCTGTCTGTGTGTGTGTGTGTGTGTGTGTGTGTGTGACGGTCACTGATTAAAGCTCATTGTGTTAATTTATGTGTGTGTGTGTGTGTGTGTGTGTGTTTCCAGCTCGGTACCGTCTCTCTGGCTCTGTTCCGCACTCTGATTGGTCTGTATTGTGAAGATGTCATGCTGCAGTTAATTCTCAGGTATTTGCGTCCTCTTTCTCTTCCTGTAGAGATGAAATATGAATTTAAAACATGTAAATGAACACCAGTTTTAGCTGTTTCTCTGATATATACATGCATTCTGACACATTCAGTTTAAGATACTTAAACATTAAACTTTTAATGCATCCTCCACATGACTTGTATATGATTTGTATATAGATTTTAATTAAAGCTGTTTTACAACTTCTTAAATTGCTAAGTAATTTTATTATGACTTTTTTCATTAAATTATCCCAAACTTATATTTAAATATAAAAAACTGCCAAGTCATGTTTTCATTTTTTATATTTTATAAAAAATATATTACATTCATTAAAATAGTCAAACATATTTTAACGTTTTTTTTAATGATTATACAATTTTTTAAAAGTCAAAATTCATATTTTTTCCCTTTTTAGTTTTTTTACTTGTCATATTTTTAATAATATAATGTTTTATTTAAAAATGACATTTTTATGATTTTCTAAAAATGATTTAAAAAATGTATTAATCATATTTTTAATAGCATGATTATATACTAATAAAACGGTCTTATAACGTTACAAAAATGCTGTTGTCATAATTTATAAATTTTTTCATGAAATTATTTGCAGCAATGGTCAGTTTGGATAAAAGCATCTGCTAAATAGTCAAATGCAAAAGTAAAATGTAAATTAAATGTAACTTTTTCTTTAAATTTTTTAAATCAATCATGTTATCTGTAATAATTTTTAATAATTTTAGGATTTTTTTCTACAAAAAAAATTTAACTTTTTTGATTTAAAATAAATTAAAATTTTTAATACATTATTTTATTATTATAAAACGATGCCTTATGGTGTCCCAAAAATCTATATTAATTAATTATTAAAATGATGGTTAAAAAAGGTTTTCATTTTGTGTGTCATTTTTGGTGTGTTAAAACTAGTGCTCTCAAACGATTAATCGCGATTAATCGCATACAAAATAAAAGTTTTTGTTTACATAATATATGTGTGTGTGCGCTGTGTATATATTTATTATGTATATATATAAGAGCACAGTGGCCTCCATAATCCTTAAATGGAAGACGTTTGGGACGACCAGAACCCTTCCTAGAGCTGGCCGTCCGGCCAAACTGAGCTATCGGGGGAGAAGAGCCTTGGTGAGAGAGGTAAAGAAGAACCCAAAGATCACTGTGGCTGAGCTCCAGAGATGCAGTCGGGAGATGGAAGAAAGTTGTAGAAAGTCAACCATCACTGCAGCCCTCCACCAGTCGGGGCTTTAGGGCAGAGTGGCCCGACGGAAGCCTCCCCTTAGTGCAAGACACATGAAAAAACACCTGAAGGACTCCAAGATGGTGAGAAATAAGACTCTCTGGTCGGATGAGGCCAAGATAGAACTTTTTGGCCTTAATTCTAAGCAGTATGTGTGGAGAAAACCAGGCACTGCTCATCACCTGTCCAATACAGTCCCAACAGTGAAGCATGGTGGTGGCAGCATCATGCTGTGGGGGTGTTTTTCAGCTGCAGGGACAGGACGACTGGTTGCAATCAAGGGAAAGATGAATGCGGCCAAGTACAGGGATATCCTAGACGAAAACCTTCTCCAGAGTGCTCAGGACCTCAGACTGGGCCAAAGGTTTACCTTCCAACAAGACAATGACCCTAAGCACACAGCTAAAATAACGAAGGAGTGGCTTCACAACAACTCTGTGACTGTTCTTGAATGGCCCAGCCAGAGCCCTGACTTAAACCCAAGTGAGCATCTCTGGAGAAGCCTAAAAATGGCTGTCCACCAACCTTTACCATCCAACCTGACAGAACTGGAGAGGATCTGCAAGGAGGAATGACAGAGGATCCTCAAAGCGAGGTGTGAAAAACTTGTTGCATCTTTCCCAAAAAGACTCATGACTGTATTAGATCAAAAGGGTGCTTCTACTAAATACTGAGCAAAGGGTCTGAATACTTAGGACCATCTGATATTTCAGTTTTTCTTTTTTAATAAATCTGCAAAAATGTCAACAATGCTGTGTTTTTCTGTCAATATGGGGTGCTGTGTGTACATTAATGAGGAAAAAAAATTAACTTAAATGATTTTAGCAAATGGCTGCAATCTCCCTCCTTCTTCATTCCCAAACCCTGCTCCTCTCCACCGCAGACGCCCAAACCCGACTACATCCTCTGGTCAAAGGTCACCGAGGGCCTGCTGAGGGGCAACATGGGTAAAGGACTTCATGATTTGTAGTCTCATATATATACTTTAGTCAGAGAGGAAGGCGTATTTAATTTGATATGAATAATAATCTACAAAACATTACATACACTACCATTTAAAAGCTTGCAGTCAATAAGGTTTTTGAAAGAATGGTTCTGAAAGAAGTCTCTTCTGCTCACCAAGGCTGCATTGATTTGATTTTTTTAAAAAAACATTGAAAAATTATTACAGTTAAAATTTTATTAAAAATACAGTAAAATTGTGAAATATTATTAGTATTTCAAACAGCTGTTTTCTGTGTGAATATGTGTTAAACTGTAATTTATTTCTGTGATGCGCAGCTGTATTTTCAGCATCATTACTGCAGTCTTCAGTGTCACATGATCTTCAGAAATCAGTATAATATGCTGATCTGCTGCTCGAGAAACATTTCTGATTATTATCAATGTTGAACACAGTCGTGCTGCACGATATTTTTGTGGAAACTGTGATACATTGTATTTTTCAGGATTCACAGATGAACAGAAAGCTCAAAAGAACAGCATTTATTTCAAATAGAAATCTTTAGTATCATTATAAATATCTTTACTGTCATGTTTGATCAATTTAATGCATTAATTTCTTATTTACGTTTGGTATGATTGTGATACTATTACAGTTTATATTAATATATGAAATTAGTTTTTATTAGTATTTTTTGTTTTAATTGAAATTTTAGTTAGTTTTAGTAGTTTATTGTGTTTTGACATTTTTATTGTTTTGTAATGTCTAAATAGTTTTTATTAATTTTTAATTCAGGTTTCATTTTAGTCATTTTAGTACATCGAGTTAAAACGAAATAAGATAAATTATAATGAAAACCTTCAACTTATTTTATTTTCACTTCAAGTAACATGTTTTTTATAGTTTGTTATAGTTTTGATTAACTTTAATGTTATTTAAAAAATGATATGCATACACAGCTAACAAAATATGTTCTAAGAACGTTTTTCGAACGTTCTCATTAGGTTGTGAAAACGTTACTTCTGAACGTTCTCTGTAAACATTCGAAATGTCCAGTTTTTTAAATATTTAACGAGTGTTTTTATTGTTTACGTGAGCATTAGAGACAACATTAAGGGTAACATTCCATTTTATTATGACTTATAAATGTTCTCGAAACCATCTTACACAAACGTCCAGCTAAAATGTTTCAGAAAAATGTTTTTGTGCTAACATGTTGAGAACGTTATTAAAACGCAAATAACTGTCATCAAAACTCAACTCGCAAATAAATGCAATGTGACATCACATTGCATAGGCCCCGCCCATGGCGGCTGATTGACAGCATAGCATTGCCATAGTTTCCGCCCTCAGCGGTTGTACGATGATTTTCTCCGCTCTCGAGCAGCTGTAACGTCAACAATGTCTCCTAAGCATAAAGTAGGTATGCAAAGCAGAGACGTATACGCGACGCCCTCTTCTGGAGACGAGGGGCGGGAATATGCAGCTCATTTGCATTTAAAGTGATACACACCCAAACAGCTCTTTTTTAGACACGCCCCAAAAATGACATGATCTGTGGGGCATTTTGAGCTGAAACTTCACAGACACATTCTAGGGGCGCCCAAGACCAATATTACATCTTGTAAAAAGGGGCATAATAAGTGCCCTTTAAAGGGATAGTTCACCCAAAAAATTAAATTCTGTCATCACCTATAAGACCTTCATTCTTCTTCAGAACACAAATTAAGATACTCCGAGAGCTCTCTGACCCTCCATAGACAGCAAGGATCCTAACACGATCAAGGCTCAGAAACGTAGCAAGGAGATCGTTAAAATAATCCATGCGACATCAGTGGCTCAATCGTAATTTTACGAAGCTACGAGAATACTTTTTGTGCGCAAAGAAAACAAAAATAATTACTTTATTTTCTGAGATTTTCCAACGGGATTCTCTCTTGAATGGATTCTGAGCTTAGTTTTTAACAGCGTGCTTTAGAAACAGCCGTATTCTGCTTGGTTCAACACGCACCATTTGAACCTAAAATAATCATTCATAAAGTTCGAAAAGGTTGAAGCGAATTACAAGGATGTTCACAGTGGGCTGTGTTTACATTAATCTCACATCATAAAAGCCGAGGTGCAAGTACATTTAACCACTTACATGACTCAGCCGAACGCACAAGCGCTCTTCTGCGTGAGCATTTGAGTGTGCGGTTTAAAAACTAGCCTAGATCGCCATCTGCTGTTAAAAACTAAGCTCAGAATCGATTCCAGAGAGAATCACGATGCATTCGGAAATCTCAGAATCGATCCACGAATCGCGATGCATCGATTTATTGTCCCAGCCTTAGTATCCACTGAACGTAAACAACGTATGCTGCTCTGTGTCAGCAGCACCGTACACGGATACGTTGTTTATGCTTTGATCTGAACGAAAACAACGTATGCATAACAACATTGCGTACGTTATGTATGTGGTACTCTCCAAAATGGTGCTATAGGGTGACACGGAAGAGACGAAATGTTGAATAAAGTCTGTTTTCTTTGCGCACAAAAATTATTCTCGTAGCTTCGTAAAATTACGGTTGAGCCACTGATGTCGCATGGATTATTTTAACGATCTCCTTGCTACGTTTCTGAGCCTTGATCGTGTTAGGATCCTTGCTGTCTATGGAGGGTCAGAGAGCTCTCGGAGTTCATCAGAAATATCTTAATTTGTGTTCCGAAGATGAACGAAGGTCTTACGGGTTTGGAACGACATGAGGGTGAGTAATTAATGACAGAATTTTCATTTTTGGGTGAACTATCCTTTTATCTTCAAATTTAATTTGGCACTAATTCAGTCCTAAATCTCCTGTCTCTTCAGGAATGGAGGATCTGTTCTCAGGTGGAGATACAGTCGGATGCTCCCGAATAACCGCTTCAGAGCCGCTGATGCACAAGAACTATCTTCAGTATCTGTATGATGCACGCAGATCCGTCTGTACGACCGTCCAAGCGTGCGACGTGTGGTCGGCTCCGTACGACGGCCTCAATCCGTCCCCGGACGAGTATCAGGACGAGGATGAGGACGAGTGCCTTCCTCGCTCTACTCCGCCTCCTCAAACGCCGACTCCTCATCCGCCTTCGGAAACCAGCTCCACCGGCGACCGCGAGCGAGTCGGGACGCTACTCGAGCTGGAATGGGACGATACGTACGACGCCGTGCCGGACAGGGAACCGACGCCCGACGTTCCAGACGAACCACCGAAACACATTCAGGAAATGCGTAAAAACGCCATCATGCTGATTAAAGGAAGTTATATCGAGGAGTCGGAATTTCAGGATGATGTGTTGGTTTATAATCTGATTGCGCAAAAAGATGCTCGTGATGACCGGCGGATATTCGTCAAAAATGGCTTGAATAAACCAACCCACAATCTCTACCTAAACAACAATCTGATGCACGCTAATCACACACTGAACCATAATCACGCAGAATATCCAGAATCCGAACCGATTGTGAACGGACGTGGTTTTGAGGAGCAGAAACCGGAATTAGAGGGTGATGCTGCGCGTCTGGACCACAACTGCAATGAGAGCAAAACGGCCGAAGCCGCAGGAGACGACTTCATCTCGCAGTGTCTGGAGCTGATTCGGGATCTGGGCGGAGAGGAAGACTGCGTCGTGGAGGATGAAGAGCAGCTCCAGCGGCTGCAGGATCTCCTGCATGGGGACGAGGAGGAGGAGCTGGACTTTACCTGCTTCTGTGAGGAGTGTGAGGGTGAAGACGATGCAGATGAAGAACTGAATAAAGCCGAGAGCAGGAAACACGGGATCTCGTTTACAGGTCAGTCGGGAGATTTTATATGGTTTGGAATGATTGATGAGGTTGAATATGGAAGAGTTTATTTTTGAAGTGGAAGAGTTTATTGAACCTTGGGGCAAGACTGTGCATATGTGTTCTATTTTTGATCCATCAGGATTTTATGGCTCATATAATCTGATATAGTGAGAATATGAAGGAAAAAACAGTTTGATTTTATTCCATTTGGTGCAGATGTTGAACTTTTTATGATGGTGTAGGAAACTTTTTCCTCGTCGAAGCAGAAAACCAGGAGACGTTGGGATATCTTTCATACAGAAGTCACTCTTTATTGAGGACTCGCTGTGCGTCGCTGCAGTCATCCAAGTCTGACTATAGCTCAGCACAGTAGAGTTTATATACATTTTAAGGGGGCGGGATTCATTAAGTAGAAGTGGCGACAATCTAAACAAAGCATGCAAATGCAATACAGGAATCAGCCCGTTACCGGAATTTCTCCAGCCCTGATCTCATCAGCATAACAGTGTCATTTAAATGCATAGGTGCTAATCCAATCAGCATAACTACTCAAAGACTGGGGCAGAGGCACCAAGAGCCATTACAAACAAAAGGTGACTTTCTCAGTAATTTGGTTAATTTGACTAACAATAAGAGAAACCGGAACAGACAGGAACCTCTTGCCACACCTTGCTTAAGACAATCATTTGTCCGATGCAATTTACCCTAAACGACTTCACCTTAGTTTTTCATGTGATGCTCAGAACATAGGATCAGCATATTTTAAACAGATTCTTAAATTTGTAATCCCACAATGGCATTCTGCTGCTTGTGATATAAATCAATGAGATCTTTATAACAGTGCAGCAGATACTGACATAAAATGATCTAAATATCAGTCGTCGCTCTATATCTCCAATAATGTCTCAGTAAGATGAGATTGAAATGATCCGAACATATAATGCAGTGATTGAGAGCTGAAGAAATAAAGGCTCCTCAGAAGATGTGAGATGTTCTGGAGGCTTGTGAAGATCATTCCTCCGCTGAGGAACAGTGAAAGTAAAGCTTCTGGAAACAAACGCTCCTCAAAAGATCCTGAGGATCAGATTTGAGACTCTAAAACATGATTGATGGAGAATCAAGTAAAGCTGAGCTGCTTCAGTCCAGTAAGTGTTCATCTGGAGATATTACTGCAGTTATTCTGACCTTTACTTGATCAAAACCAGTCAAGATTTGACACGAGAAGCTCCAGCTGAAGCTGGACGTTTCTACAATTACACTAAAAGAGCTTTTACTGGATAAAACACTCTAAACTCTCAATCAGACGACATGAGGAGATTGAGTGAAACGGCAAAGTTTTGATCATGTTGCTCATTCAAAGGCCTTAGAATTTTGTGAATCAAATATGATACAGTAGCCTAACAGGGTTAAAGATGGTGGAAATTTATTTTTGAGACATTTTTGAGTTGCACAGTTAAAAACTGCAGTCCTATGAAGAGTCTGAGGTATTTTGATTGTGTTTAGAGGAGCTTTATTGCAGATCTGATTCAGTATTCGGTTGATCTGGATGATGTTTTCCAAGCTCAGATGTTCTGTTGAGTCTAGAGAACAGTTCAGTTGGGCTTTGACAGAGTTTACAGTATGGAAGCAGTTAGGACTCACTTTCTGAAATGAAGCATTGTCGAGGTGTTGCAAATGTTCAGAGCCAAATTTGGGTGGAATCAGAGCGGCGTTTGGATCAAATAATCCTGGTTGGTTCCTCAGGGCCGTTCATCAGCGTCCTGCTGTCCCGTCTGGAGAACTTGCTGGAGAACTCCATTGAGGTCAACCTGCTGCTTACAGGGATTTTAGCACAGCTGGCCACATATCCACAACCGCTGCTGCGAGGATTCATTCTGAACACCAGACCCGCGTCTCAGACCGGTGCACGCTCACTCTACCAGGTACAGAACACTCAATATTAGTATAAACAGTGTTGGGGAAAGTTACTTTTAAAAGTAATGCAATACAATATTGCTTTACTCCATAACAAAAGTAACTTATTGCGTTACTTTGTTGCTTTTTATGGAAAGTAATGCATTTTGTTACTTTTGCGTTACTTTTTGTCACTTGGGCTGGGCTCGTTTATTTGTTTTTTAATAACAAATAACAAAAGTTATATTTTTTGGCAACTGTGTTACTTTACTAGTTACCTGAAAAAAGTAATCTGATTACGTAACTTGTGTTACTTGTAATGCTTTACCCCCAACACCGAGTATTAATATGCAAAATTAGATTTAATATTAAAAGTCATTCAGCATTCAGTTGACTCATAGACAAGATTTTTAATGAAGTGAGTCTATACATTTTTTTTAATATTGAACAAACTTTAAAACCTTTTGTTTTACTTTGTTTTTGTTCAGTATTTCCTTTTAATATTTTGCTACATTTTAACCTGTTTCTTCTGCTACACTCCATAGTCCATATGGTGTTCATATAAATTTAATATAAAACTGCTGTTTTATTGATATTGATTTTTCACAGGTGTTTTACCCATATTTTAAATGAAACGTTGCATCATGTTGTGTTTTAGGGTTGAACATAAAGTCAGTAAACTTGACAGAAGAATTTTTTTCTTACAGTGTAGCTGACATGCATTAAATAAATAAATAAACAGACAAACATTACTCATTATGTAATGCCATCATTCCGAATAAAGTTCATTGTAGGCCGTTTTGTTTACAAACTCTATTTACACAGTAGTGATGATATTGTTCACTAAAACTACAATTATTAAAAAACATTGAAATAGAATCAAATACAAACATTAGATGGAAATTAAACTCAAAAAATGAAAATTAGAAAATGCCTGCGCAACTACTGAAATAAAGTAAGTTTCAAGTTGAAATACTAAAATTACTAATACTAAAACTGAAACAAAAAAAATTAAAGCTATATAGAAAAAATAAGACAAAAGCACATAAAATCACTAAAACTAAAACTGTAAATATAAAAATAATGGCCAATTCAAAATATTTATAAATACTACAATACTACAATAGTATATAAATGTTAGTTTCATTAATACATAATCAACACCTAACTTCTTGTTTTCCTAAATGCACATTTAATGCAATGCAGTGTGCAACAGCATGGTATTACAGGACAACTTCAATAAACAATACTCAATTAATATTCATAAGAAGCCTACATTTAAATGACTCTTTTATATTTTCCATTTTAATTGTATTTTTTAATTTTTGCCTTTAAAGTAAGTTTTTGTGAATGTGTGTGTGATTGTCATGATATGTCTATATAGTTTCTATTAAGCTTCAGATTTTAGTTTCTTTAGTTTTAGTTATTTTAGTACTTCAAATTAAACTAAGCAAAATATGAGAAATGTTGGCCTGGTAACTAGTGGAAATAAAATAATTGTATAAATGTTTTTTTTTTTTTTAAATGTTCAGTTAAGGTTTATTTAATTTAATTAACTAACATTTATGAATCTGAAAATTACATCAGAATGACTTTTGAATTATTAGATGATGTGATGCTCAATATCTAAACTCCTCTAACGAGCTTGTGTGTTTGTCTCAGGTTCTGCTGTCGGTGGGTTGTCAGATTGAACAGTACGCAGCGTCCAATCCAGATTTTCCCGAGCTGGTCCGTGAAGCCGCCCAGTACCTGCTGCTCAAAGACCAGGCCTTAAAAGAGCAAGGTGTGCATCGTCCTGTCCCGACTATTTGATTGTCTTTCTGTTTGCAAGCTGAAACCGTCTTCTTTCTCCTCCTGTCAGAGAGAGAAGTCCACATGCAAGAAAACGCCAGCTGGTTCCTGAATGGCCACGTCTCGGGTCGTCCACGCAAACCTCTTCCTCCCTGCCCCAAAATCCCGCCGCACCTGCGGAACAGAGTGTTCACTACGTTTCTGTTCGCCGAGTTCCTGAAGGAGCTGGCAGCCATTGCGCAAGAGCACTCCATATTACCTGAGCGAACTGCGGAGGAGTGACACACCTCAGATTGTGAGTTTCACAGCAACAATCAAATGCAAACATCTCTGGACGCTTTCCCATTCATTTCCTAAGGACGGTCAGTTCTGACCTCAAACAGCCAATGTGTCTGGGTTTTTTTAATGACCTCTTAGACTTATAGTTCAGTTTTTTTAAGTTTTACGTTTTTTGACCCCCTGTTGTGTTGAGGTCAAATTGACCCACACTCATTTTTATAAACTGCTTGAAATACTCTTTATTTCTTACTGAAATTTGGTGGATATTTTTTTATTTAGCGTTGTGAATGTGCACGCAAAGTTTCGGCACATGGATGTGTTTCGGAAAGGCTGTACAAAAACTATTGCAACTTTTGTGTTGGGTCAAGTTGACCCACGCTCAAACTTTCAAACTGCTCGAAATACTGGTTAAACTGTTTATTTCTTTTTGAAATTTGGTGAATATTTTTCATTTAGGGTTATAAATGTGCAAGCAAAGTTTCAACACATAGATGTGTTTTAGAAAAGCTGTACAAAAATCGTTACAGCTTTTGTGTTGGGTCAAAACTGACCCACATTCTATTTTACAAACTGCCCAAAATACCAGTTAAACTACTTACTTATTCTTGAAATTTGGTGGATATTTTTCATTTAGGGTTATAAATGTGCAAGCAAAGTTTCAACACATAGATGTGTTTTAGAAAAGCTGTACAAAAATCGTTACAGCTTTTGTGTTGGGTCAAAACTGACCCACATTCTATTTTACAAACTGCCCAAAATACCAGATAAACTACTTATTTCTTCTTGAAATTTGGTGGATATTTTTCATTTAGCGTCATGAATATGCATGCAAAGTTTCGGCACATAGATGTGTTTCGGAAAGGCTGTACAAAAACTATTACAACTTTTGTGTTGGGTCAAATTGACCCATGCTCAAATTTTCAAACTGCTCGAAATACTGGTTAAAATATTTATTTCTTCTTGAAATTTGGAGGATATTTTTCAATTAGCACCATGAATGTGCATGCAAAATTTCAGCACATAGATTTGTTTTGGAAAGGCTGTACAGAGTTTGTTACGACTTTTGTGTTGGGGTTCATTTGACCCACATACGTATTTTAAATGACTCAAGATACTGATTCAACTATTTATTTCTTCTTGAAATTTGGTAGATATTTTTCATTTAGTGTCATGAATGTGCATGCAAAGTTTCCGCACATGGATGTGTTTTGAAAAGGCTGTGCTGAGAATTGTTACTACTTTTGTGTTGGGTCAAATTGACCCAAGCTCAAATATTCAAACTGCTCAAAATACTGGTTAAAATGTTTATTTCTTCTTAAAATTTGGTGAATATTTTTCTTTTACGGTCATGCATATGCATGCAAAGTTTCAGCACATAGATGTGTTTTGGAAAGGCTGTACAGAGTTTATTAGAACTTTTGTGTTGGGTTTAAACTGAGCCCCACTGGATTCTATGCAATTTGCCAAAAATCCACAATCTGAAAAACATTAAACATTAACATTAAGCCTGTTGCAGCACTGAAAAAGTGTGAGAAACTCATTCTACTCTCACAAGGGTTTAAGAAAAGGACATAACAATAAAACACTGGGAAGTACAAATAGCAATAAAAACTACTTACACCAAGTACAAATAATGTTAGGAACTGTTTATACTTGTAGTTATTTCCTCCTACAATGACAAAAACGTATTTTGTGTCTGTTAAACATGAAAATATCAAAATATGTGGTCAAATTGACCACTAACACAATAGAAATAACACTATAAAAATTGATGGGAATTATTAAATTTCTCACATATTTTATATTTTTTAGTCTCTGACCATCTACAGTAGAGGTGTTCTGTTTTACATGAATCTTTAGTGTTTTTCATAGTGTTTATTTTTGACAAATTGCATGAAAACCACTGTGGGTCAATTTGACGAACAAACTCTAAAGCTGCTGTACTCAGTTTTTGAACACAACAGGAGGCTTAAAAACAATAGAATTGGTCAAAAATGACCGAAAAGCACATTAGTGTTAAATTCATTAGCATACAGATGAGCTCAAAGCTTCAAACATGCACTTGAAGCCACAGAAGATTTATTTGTTTGGTTTGGAGGTTCTGGTTTACAGTTCATGTGAACTCTGGTACGGTTTGTAACTGCTATTAAAGAGATCCGGACCTAATTTGTGCAAGTGAACCTTCACTGATGTATAATTTGATGTATTGAGAGGGTCAGATGTCTTATTTCTGTGTCTTTTAGCTCATTTTGCAGAAACACACAGCACAGTCTTCATGATAATGCCTCTTTTAAAGGAACAGTTCACCTCAAAATAAACACTCACATTTACTCAAAGAGTTTGCAAAGAATCACCACTGATTTTAATTTAAGAAAACACCTATCAAGCTCTAAAATGTACACAATAATATGAGTCAACGTGACTCATGCAGTATATTCCCAAGCACATTTTCATTTTTGCCTGGACTGTTGCTTTAACAAGCAAACTCAATTTTTGTTTTTTGTTGATTCAGACTTTGTGCTTTATATTATATGGGTTGTTATTTTATTATTTGTGTATAGATGAATCACTGTAATTAGTTGTTTATCAGCCAATTTTAAACCTGTAGTATGTTATTTGTGTGTGTGTGAAGCTTCTCAAAACAACATAACGTTCAAGACAACTCGTCAGAAAACTAGTGATATTTAAAGTCAACACGAAATGGCATTTACAATACATTTTACTTCCATAATGTGAACATTTCTGAGGATATTCAATGAGAAAATGCAGAGCATTTAGTAAGTATCTCTATATGAAGATACAATTGGTGTAGAAGTGGAGAAAGTATTATGCTGAAAGATGATGAAGACATGCACCGTACATGAATTAAGAAAATCAGCAGATTTGATTCTTTTGATTTCATGTTGACTGTAAGCACAATTTCTGAAAATGTTTCATGTTGTATTCCACTGAATAATCAGGGGTAACATTTTTGTCCACCTGATTTATCTCAATACTGAATTGAAGCCGATGTGAGATTTCAATCCACTGTGTGTTTGTTACGTGACGCTGCTTACAACATTTTCAGATCATTTTTTAGATAAAACCGTCACCGCAATCACTTTAAATTCTGTCTTTTTCAGCTACAAATGCCTGAGAACTCTAGAACCAAAATCTGAAGAGAAGAATTGAATAACTCAAATGTAACTCAAAATAACAGGAGCAGGATTTCAAGCCTTATTTTGCTGTGCATCTGTACATTTGAAATTTGTTCAAACTAAAGCAGAAGAAGCTTTTTGAGATGTTTTATGACCTGTTATGATGTCAATGTAAAGTTTTGTACACATATTTTTACAGATCAATCAGTCACGAGGAGGACAACAGAAATATGGGTTGTTTTTAATATGAGCCTTTGTAATATTATTCTGCCCCCTGGTGGTAAATTAAAACTCCATTTGTGGTGTATACAGTATTTATATGTGTATGTGTGATAAGTATTTATAATGTAAAAGAACAATATCAGCAGTTTAATGGAAAAACAATATACAGTATTCACACACATTTGAATTCCATATATATATAACATTAGTTAATGTCACATGGCAGTATATTAAACAATTTAACAGGAATCAGCACACATTTTTTGGTACAAGATTGAAAAAACATAACAACAATGTTTTTATTATAGTGCCACCTAGTGTTGGGAGTTTTTGGAGTCTCTGGGATTTACGGTTTCTGACACTTTTATGGCATAATAATGATAATGGTAATAATAATAATTTAAAATGACAAATTAATGATAAAATAATAAATTATAATATAAAAATCAGAACAGATACAGGGTTATTATTAAAAACTAAAACTGTTAGGAACACTTTTGTTAAATCTAAAATAAAATAAAATACAAATATTAGATAAAAAAATTAAAGTAAACTAAAATTAGACATGTTGCTTTGGCAACTAATTGAAATAAGTCGAAGCTCTAAAATTACTAACTAGAAATAAATCAAATCTAAAATTTAAATTAAACATAAACAGTGATATTAAAATAACTACTGTAAATGACAAAAGCACATAACATTTCTAAATATAAAATAAAAAGAAAACTAAAAATTAAAGCGAATTCAAAATATTATTGAAAACTGTATAGTATATAAATAATACTACAATAACATTGGTTCCAGTAGCTTCGTTGAATAAAATGCTGTTTTACTTCAGTTCGGGTAAAGTTTTCATGGAGACTTATTAATTTGAATAATTTCAGGTCTTCACTGTACGTCTGAGTGTCTTTATTATCCCGTAGCCTCACCGCACCGTTTGCTAGGACTCTGTTCCTGTGCTCTGATTGGCCGCCGCAGGCCCCGAGTCGCTGTCACTCTCCCAGGAGGAGGATGTGAAGCCGGCGGGGGCGGAGACTGAGTGGGGCGTGTCCGTGTAGCCCAGCCCCTGGTACCGCCCCTGCGGGGAGGCGGGGACTGAGTGGCGCTCGTGGGACGTCCCAGCGAGGAGACCGGTGTGTTCACCCTGAACAACATCCGCTTCAGAGCCGAAGAACAGCTTACGGGGACGACTGAACACCGTACGGCCTGCAGAGCGCACAAACCGCACACACGTTAAATGACGAATCATGACAAAAAATGTTTGCGTTGTGTTTCCGCGATCATGAGCTCACAAAAGCTGGAGACAAATTGATTTAGGACAGCATATTGATACCTAGCAACTGTCTAGAAACCACTGAGAACACCCTAGCAACCACCCAGGAAACTCTACAAACTGCTTAGCAACACCCTAGCAAACACATAGCAATGCCCTAGCAACCATCAGCTGCCTTGCAACCATGGATTACACCCTTGCATCTAGGAACACCCCAGCAACACCCTAGCAACTGCCTAGTAACCACATAGCAACGCCCTAGCAACCATCAGCTGCCTTTTAACCATGGAGAACACCCTTGCATCAATGAACACCCTAGCAACTGCTTAGCAACCACATAGCAATGCCATAGTGACCATCAGCTGACTTGCAACCATGGAGAACACCATTGCATCTAGTTACACCACAGGAACACCCTAGCAATTGCCTAGTAACCACATAGCAACGCCCTAGCAAACATCAGCTGCCTTGCAACCATGGAGAACACCATTGCATCTAGTTATACCACAGGAACACCCTAGCAATTGCCTAGCAACCACATAGCAACGCCCTAGCAACTAGTACCACCCTAGCAACCACCCAGGAAACCTTAGCAACTGCCTAGCACATGCTTATAATAAAAATGCCCATGTGACATTTATTAGCTACTGTAACAAAATTTGCAAGACAGAAATTGGTGGTAATTGTGTACAGTTTTCAAAAGGAAAAAAGTTTAAATACATTTGTATTATTTAATAATTTCAATAATAATTGTATTTATATTATAAAAAAATTTATTTAAAAAATATGTATAGTATAACAGTCTATATATGAATAGTTATATAAAGCTAGCAATTATAAACAGCATTAGACGTGTCCGTGATCGTTCTCACCGGCGTTGCACACTTGCTCTGCGATGTCTGCGTGTATGTCTGAGACGTCCACCATGGCGAGGAGCGAGTCGAAGCATGAGCCTTCATCATCCTCATGAACATACGGATGGCTGCTGAAACTGTAGTGATGAGCGATCACTGCCAGAAACATCTCCAGACAGATGATGAAGTCCTGCACACACACATTATCACACATACACACACACACAATTAAACACACAGACAGTTCATCAAAAGACTAAATCATGTCCTCTTTTATTTCAGAAACTAACAAAATATCTCATGTCTATGACATATCCTGATGTAAACAGCTGGATAATTGTGTGTGTGTGTGTGTGTATGTTCACCTGTAGTCCCGTGGCTACGGCTTCCACGCTGTCCCACTCCCAAGTGTGTTTGTCTGAAATCACTCCGACCTTCACCAGCAGAGCGATCAGCACAGCCTGCCTACAACACAAAACTACACGTCACATACAACGTCCCACGCTTTATTTCTCATTCTTGCATGTTTCACCCTAGCAACCACAAAGAAACCCCTGTCTAGCAATAACCTAGCCTCCAACTAACAATCTAACAACCATCTATTATACCTATCAACTCCATTGCAAACACTGAGAACATCCTAGCAAACTGCCTAACAACACCTATCACATACATAGCAACGCCCTAGCAACCATCTATAACACCTATCACTTGCCTTGCAACCAACTGCCAAACAACACCCTAGCAACCATCCAGAAAATCCTACAAACTGCCTAGAAACACCCTAGCAACCACCTAGTACCACATAGCAACACCCTAGCAACCATCTGTCTTTAAATTCAGCATTATATTATACCCCCCACAGAAGACCTCGGATGATGCTAACCCTGGAACCCTTAATAGTGTTCACCGTCTGTTTGATTGCATGCAATTTGTAACTAACTGCATGATTCTTACTGTACATTTCCATCATAGTCACCACTAATAACCTACTCCTAAATATAATGTAGAAACTTAAAATTTTCTGTAAAGCTGCTTTGCAACGATTTGTATCGTGAAAAGCGCAACACAAATAAACTTGAATTGATTTGAATGGAATTGTATATTATTATTATACTAGTTTAGTGTAACTAAGCAGCTGCCAAACATCAGCTCCAGATTCTCTCCGCTGCATTAGTGAGTGTGAACATGAACGTACCAGAAGGACACGAGGACGACGAGTTTGACGCAGAGCAGCTTGCCGACGGGTCTCGGAGGCTTCAGCTCTTCTCTCAGCGTTCGGTACAAAACTCAACACAAAACAAGCAAATCAAACCAATCTTCCTTATAGTACTTCCAGACATTTGACTACTATAGCATATAATTACTATATTACGCCATTAGCATGAGTCAGTATCAGCAATGCATTGATACATTTTCTTAGTGCCACAGTCTGTGACTATAATATAAATTCTATTTAAAATGAATAAATGTTGGTTACCAGCTGTGAGGCGTTGTTGACGATAACGAGGTACGTCCAGGCGTTTCTGAAGCTGAAATTACCTTCATCATAAACTCCACACAGCTGACACACACTACAGCACAGAGACAGAGAGACCGGCTGTCTGGTTATATATATGTTTATCCATCAGTATACATGATCTTATTGTTTGTTATTGATCTAGATCAGTGGTTCTCAAAAAAACATTTAAAATGAATAAAAATTAACGCCTTGCTGGATGTGTTTCAGCTTTGGTCTTCTCCCGATGTTAACTGATGGACTGGAGTGCTGTGGATTATTGTGATGTTTTTATCAGACTCTCGTTCTGACGGCACCCATTCACATCCATTGCTGAGACACTGATGCAATGCTACATTTCTCCAAATCTGATGAAGAAACAAACTCATCCTAATCTTGGATGAACTAAGGGTGAGTAAACTTTCAGCAAATGTTCATTTTTTGGGTGAATTACTCCTTTGGGTCTTGGAAAAACACCCTCAAATATATGAGAAATTTGAAAAATATATAAAGTTATGTCAAGATCGAAAATATTTCACCAAGTAAAAATTGCTGTGAAATCGTCATATTTGAAGGTTAAACATAATTTTAAAAATGTATCCTATAATCACAAATAAGTGGAAGTTATATATGTATATTAATATAATGACAATATAATTATTATTTATTATAATATTAAAATAAAAAAATACAAAAACAAGCAGCTTTACTGAAAATAAAATCAAGTTCCAGACAGTAAACCTTCAGAACCACTGATCTAGATGAGTGTGTGTGTGTGTGTGTCGTACAGTGCGATGATGGTGGTTACAGGTCTCACTGCTGTGTACTGCAGAACTCCAAGCTTACATCTGAACAACAGAACCCTGAGAAAGACAGAGGCATGTTCATCTTACTTGACTTGTATGCATGCTCAGTATAGATAGATGCATGTGTGTGTTTGTGCGCGCGTGTGTGAGAGAGTGTGTGTGTGTGTGCGCGTTTTTGTGACAAATGAGGACATAAATTTGTATAATGACAAAGGTATGACAGGTATACAGGTAT